TTGGTCTTTTTGAGACAGGGTCTCCCTGAAAGCTTCAGCTGGCCTGGAACTCACTATGTAGAACAGGCTGGCCTCAATCTCAGAGACCTGTGTGCCTCTGCCTCCCAAGTGCTGGGACTAACAGGATGCACCACCACACCCAGCTGGTATAATGTACTTTGATCTTATCCACCCCTTACTTCCCAGTTCCAACTCCCCCAAGAACCTCCCTCCATCATGTCTCCCTTCCAACATAATGTTCTTAGTTGATATTTTTTATTTATTTCCTAACCCACTAAATCCAATCAGTGTTGTCCATATGTGCATAGGCATGGAGTCATCAGTTAGGGCATGGGGAACCTACCAATAGCCACACTCCTAAAGAAAAGTGGCTCTCCCTCCTCCAGCTGCCATTGGCTGCTTATAGCTCCTAAGCTAGAGGTGGGGTCTTGGGAGCCCCTCCTCACTTCATGCTGGAATTTTTAACTAGCTTGATCTTGCATAGATCTTGTGTAGGTAATCGCAGCTGTTTCTAAGTTCATGCATGCAGATTTGCTTTATATATTGATTCTTTTATATTTGAATGTCTTTTAAATTTAACTGATGAGGGCTGGAGAGATAGCTCAGCAGTTAAGAACACTGACTGTTCTTGCAGAAGACCGGGGTTCAAATCCCAGCACCCACATGACAACCAACAACTGTCCGTAACTCCAGTTCCAGTGGATCCAACAGCCTTTTCTGTCCTCTGCAGGCATTGCACAACGGGTACTACCTACATGCAGGCATAATGCTCATACACATAAAATAAAAAGTTTTAAAAATTAAAAATTAACTGATGGATTTTTTTGCCCCCAAAGTTTATAATAGGAGAGAATTAATCAAATGTGGGAGCATGGCCAGGCATGGTGGCACACATCTTTAGTCTCAGCACTCGGGAGGCAGAAGCAGGCAGATCTCTGTGAGATGGAGGCCAGCCTGATCTACATAGTGAGTTCTAGGCAAGCTGGGGCTACGGGGAGATCCTGTCTCAAAAAAACCAAACAACAAACAACAAAACAAAACAACAAATGTGGAGTATGGTGGTTAGTTTTCTCTTGCTACAACTTAAAATCACCTGGGAAGAGAGTTTCAGTTGAGGAATAATCTATATCAGGTTGGTGCTCCAATTGTTGAGGTGGGAAGAGTAAACCTAAATGTGGGTGGCAGCATTTTATGGGCCCTGAACTATATGAGTAAAGAAAACCAGTCAGCAAGCAAGGATTCTTGTATTTGTGCTCTCTCTGCTCTTGACTGGAATGTGATGCTTTTAAGTTCCTACCTTGGCTTCCCCACCATAGTCTGTAACCTGGAACTGTAAGCCAAATAAACTCTTCTCTAAGTTCCTTTACCCAATCACCAAATCCAAGGGAGAGAGACGGTTCCATACAAGGAAGGAGCAAGCTTACTTAATAAGTAGCTCAAAGTTGGTACTGACTTCAAGCTTTCATCTCTACTGGCTTGTTTTCATAGTCATCAAATGTGTTATGCATGCCTGTGCCAGAATTTAAAGTTAGCCGTCTGAGTCTGCTTTCTCACTGCATTCTGAACACTGGGAACCGGGTAAGGAGGAGGAAATTCTGAATAAAAAACTCTACAAACTTGCTCTAAGACTTTACGCCTCACCTCCTCAGGAATTTCATAAAGATTAATTGTCCTTCTAGCTATATGAAAAGGCTGGCTTGGAAGCAATTTCCTTGGACAGCATTTAGCACACACTCTAACAAATGTCCAAGCAGCCCAGAAGGCAAGTAAAACTGCTTCTCCTATCCGAGACTCCGTTTTTCCGTTTTCCCTGATTCTGTCCCCCACTTTATCTAACAATCCCATATTGTAAGGCCCTGAAGCACACCCTGCAATGTGCAACCTATCTCTATAAGTGCACCCATGTCGTACAATGCTCACAGAGGACAGAAGAGGCTGTCCAATCCCCTGGGACTGGAGGTACAGACAGTTGTTAGCTGCCATATGTGTCGAATGCCCCCCAAGCCCACCAGGCTTGGGTCTTCAACAAAAAGGACACTCAGGCATATGTCTGAAGTTATGCGAGGAATTTATTAAAGGGACAGCAGGTACAGAGAGGAGAGCTCTCTTTAGATGAAAGAATCAGGAAGAATCCACTGAGGGGTCCCACAGGTCTTTTTTATTCTGCCTGGAGTTTGGGTTACCTAGGTGAATCTTCCCAACAGAAACAAAAGGGTTACTATAGAGACAGCACGAAGGCCGAACTGAAACTAACTTTCTAGAAGACCTGATTTATCATCCAGGTACAGCCTGTTAGCTCTGACCACTGAAGCAAAGAGCTCAGAAGCTCTTAAAGTGACACTCTCCTAATTTCCAATGCTTATGGCAAGCATGGCTCCCGACAATCATCAACCTTACCCAGCTGTGAACCCCATGAACTTCAATGATGACTGGCCTGGCAAGATATGCACACTTGTGCAATCATGGCACAAATGTTATGGGAGTAACCAACCACTTTCTAAATGGATTTAAAGCCTACTTCGCAAGTTGGAGTCCATACCTGGCATTGTTATCAGGGCCAAGAACCTGTGACTGGGCAGGTCACAAGCTGTAGGGGAGAACCTACTATTATCTTGCTAAATGGACATAGTATTAAACCTACTCCTGTTTTATTCTATTTGTGTATGTGTGTTATGTGCATGTATGTGTAGGCATCCGTAGAGGCCAGAAAAGCCTGATGACTCCCTGGAGTTGAAGTTATAGATGGTTGTGAGTCATCCAATGTAGATGCTAGGAACCAAACTCGGATCCTCTGAAAGAGCAGGTAACCACTGATTCATCTCTCCAACCCCTGTGGCTTTATTTTTTTGTGTATGTGGTATGTGTGTGGGTTACATGTGTTTATATGTGAGAATGTTGGCATGCCTGTGTCACTGCACATGTGTGGTAAAAAGACAACGTTGGGTATTGATCTCCACCTTCCACCTTGAGATAGGTTCTCTTTTTCACTGCTGTATAAGCCAGTACAGCCGGCCGGTGTGCTTCGGGAAGGGATTCACCTGTCTCCACCTCCCATCTCGCCATAGGAGCTTTGGATTACAGATGCATGTTACCACATCCAGCTTTACATGGATTTTAGGGATCCAAACTTGGGACCTCATGTTTGTGTGACAAGTGCTTTATCCACTGATCCATCTCCCCAACTCTCTGTGACTATCCCTGCTTTCTTTCCTAAAATATACTGTCACATAGTGAGACTTTAAGCAGGCAGTCCTGGGAAATCACTGGCCAAACTTTATCTTCTCAAAATGATGTAATTCATAGCCACCATACAATCAAGAAATGCATTCTAAGTTTTATTTATAAGACTGAAACATATATGAGTGTTAGTTTAAATTAACTAATGAAGTGGGGAGGATGGCACAGGAGCTATTTAGGGACAAGCTGAATGAGAGGAGGTCAGCTTTTATTCCAAAATAGGAATAATGACACACACAAAGTGATTATTTTATAAACATTGAGAAAATATTTTATACTTGTGTATTTTGTGTTTGGGGGGGTGGGGGGAGATTGGCAGTAAATCTTTGGCATCAACTTTGATAACAGTTTCCTCTTGGATTGTTACCAAGCACAGTGCTTATCCATGTCTAAGCAGGACACAGAAGATTGCATTGTGATTCATTTTTTCAATAACCTTTAGTTTTTCTTTTAGTTGTGGGTCACTTAAAAAGCACTTGGTGTGGGATGGAGACCTGGACTATGGGTCCAGAAAATAGCTGTTTAAATTGTGCTTCTAGTTCTTTCTCACTCTATGGCCTTGGTGGCTTGTGCTCTTTGTATCCTAATTTGTTCATCTTTCAAATGGGAAGAATAATCCCAAATATACAAGGTTACATGAAGGATTCAAGGATACATGTATCAAGCAACTGGCCTATAGGTGATGCTCTAGGATGCTGGTTTAAACAGCATCTTAGTGACGTACATGTACTTATCTCTGGTCCTACTTTCTCTAGACAGGGTAGATTCTCCCTTTAAGCATCTAAACTTGAATAACAGACTAGTTCACCTAAAAGTGAGCTTCAATAAATTATAACCATAAGTCTAGTCTTAACTATTTTTTAGAAGATTTTGTTTGTGTGTATGTGTATGGGTGTACAGGCCTGAATATACACAGAGGCCAGAAGAGGGCATCAGATCCCTCAGAGATAGAGTTAACAGGCATTTGCAGAACTGGCTTGTTACATAGGTGCTGGGATCCAAACACCCATCCTCATGACTGTGCAGCAAACACACAGCTGTGGAGTCATTTCTCTGGCCTCTTAACTAGCTTGTATAACACTTTGGTTATTTTTCTTGTCCTTTATCCTGTCAATTTGGTCCTCTTTCCTTTGTAAGGCAAATTTTAGGTCAACAGCTATAGCCTTAATTTCTTTCTTAAAGCCCTTTTAGCTTTAAAGAAAGCTTCTTTTCAATTTTGCCCTTTCTAAGAGGTAGGGTATTTACCCTATACTATTTTAATAGAATCACATTTTCTCTAAAATAAAACAATTTGTTTTATCATATTAAATTTGATGCCTTTGGGCTATCTTCTACAGAGAAAACTTGTAGGCAATTAAATAACTCTTATTTAAATGATTCACTTTTTCTTCTTGTCTCCAGCCTTTACTGTTAAGATATTCCTTTGGAAGATTGCTTTGTAGGGGATCACAGGGAAACTTTCTGCAATCAGTTCTACATATCTGTAATACTGGCACCTTGACAAGATAACCCAAGATCCTCTAGAACAAGTCAGGTTTGTCCATGGAAGCATAGGAATGACAGATAGGCAAAACTTCATTCTTCATAAAATGGACTCTGGGATAGCTCAGGACAATGTGGTTTGGCCTAGAATGTAGCAGTCTTGGGTTTTCAGTTCTGCCCATCAGGGACTCTAAATCACTATCTGCTGCAGGACCACATGTGCCTCATGGGGCTGTGCAGCAGACGGTCTCTGGGCCTGTTCCAGTTCTTCTACTCCTTGGTCCGGGACCTCCATTAGCCTCAGTAGCAGGTGATCTCTGACCACTCCACCCTCTGAAGACATCTACCAGGCTCTCTCTCTCTCAGATGTGCCGTCCAGTGAGGAAAAAGAGTGGCCGGTCTTCTTTGGCATTGGCTGTCTGGAACTCATCCCGCAGTCGGAACTGCCACTCATCTTCCAGCTCTAGGCGAACCACAGTCTGGCGGAGTGAGTTGCGGTCCTGACAAATCACACACAAGGTGGCACCTGCGAGGGTAAGCGTAAGGGCAGAGGAAAGGGGTGAGCTTCCTCAGGAGCAGCTGCGGAGATCCCACTTACAATAACCAAACAGTATCTGGAGTGGGAAGTGTCAAATGCCCAGCAGGCCCTCCTCTCTTTGAGTGATTTATAATTACAGCAAGACAGGCGACTGGGATTTGGCCGGTTTGGGATGACAGCAGAGAGGCAGAAAAGATGGACAGAAAAGGGACGGTGAAGGGAAGGAGAGCTTTGGGTCAGATCCCAGAGCAGGCAATCTCAGTTCTGGCTCTGGGTTCTTGTGCCACCCTCTGCCTCACAGCTGAATCCTGTTCCCCACTCATGGAGGCCTGCTCCTACCCTTGCCAAATGCCCAGCAACAAGAAATCTCCATCCACAGCAATCCACTTCTCAGGCTTTGTACACACTCTGTCTCCCTCTCTCCCTCTCCCTCCTCCCAGATGTATTCAATCCTCCCTTTAGGCCTGGCAGGGGTGTCCAAAGTTTTCACATTGGGACACCATATTGTCATTTACAAAATTTTGCATAATCAAGTAACAAAAAAAAAAAATCACAAAAACCCCTCAATATTTTAAGTAAATTTGCCATTGGGGTGGGGTCATCCTGGAGTTAGCTAAGGCATGGAGCACCCATCAAATTGGACAAGCACACTATAAGAAGTGTTTCTGAGGGCAGAGGCTTGACCTTTTCTGTTGCTAATTAAACCCATGCTAGTGAAAAAATTAGTAAAATTCAAGGAAGGTCAGCTAGGAATCTGAGCTGCCTGGAATTACAGATTAACAAAACCTGTTTGCAAGCCATTTCCAGTTTCAACCACTGGCAGTTAAAAAAGAAAGATTAGAAAGGAGATAAAGGAGGCTGGGGGTGGGGCTTTTCTACCAGAAAGAAGGCTCTGGAGGGCCCAGGCCCCAACATAAAGGACCTTAGATGGAAAAGAAACAGAAATGGACTATATCTGCCTTTCACCAGAAAGAAAAATCTTATCTCTGCTGAACAGATGTAAGAAAAGAACCCTGGTATCTAATCCCAGCTTTTGGATACTTTGAGAGTAGAGGTTCTTGCTTTCCCTCACTTGAGCCTCAGTTTACCCACTGGTAAATACAGACCCGTCATCAGAAATGCCAGGTGACAGTAGCCAGTCAAATCAAACTCCATGCTAGGAATGTTACCTTTCAGAAAATGGAACTTTTTCAAGAAGCTAGCCCCAACAAAAGAATCGCAGAGGTACAGCAGGAGCCCACTGAATGCCATGTCGGAGCAGCTGATGTTTAAGGAGTGGGGCCTGGAGCTCACATAACACACAGAAATCTGAAAAAGAGCCCAAGAGAAGCATCACTTTCCAGCAAGTTCTCAGTTTTACTTGGGATTTATATCTAACAAGTACCGGGTGCTTCGTCAAGTTCAAGTTGGGGCTTGGGAAATGTTTTCATAATATTTCCAAATCTATATCCTTAAAAAATTGGCTCCAGGAGGTTTATTCTGATTTATCATAGTCATACATTGATTTGGGAATCTGTATTTTGGCATCAGAATTGGGTTTGATTCCTAAATTCTTTTTTTAAAAAATTTAAATTTTTTTAAGCCAGGTGTGGTGGCGCATGCCTTTAGTCCCAGCACTTGGAAGGCAGAAGCAAGTGGATCTCTGTGAGTTCAAGGCCAGCCTGGTCTATAAAGTGAGTTCCAGGCCAGCCTGGGCTACAGGGAGACCCTGTCTCCAAAAAAAATCCAAAAAATAAATAAATAAAATAAAAAATTTAATTTTATGCATATGCGGTGCCTACAGAGGCCAGAAGAGGGCATCAGAATCCCAGGAACTGGAGTTACAGATGGTTGTGAACTGCCATGCAGGTGCTGAGAACTGAACCTGGGTCCTCTGCAAGAGCTTTTAACCAGTGAGCCATCTGTCCAGCCAGATTCCTAAATTCTATTTAGCAAACTAACTTCCCTCTGCCTCAGCTTTTGGCAGAGGTCAAGTGGGGTCAATACCTGAGATAAAGTCTTAAGCACAGTTCACCCTCAGTATCCACAGGTTCCATCTGCATCCATAGTTTCAATCAACCACAAATCAAAAATATTTGGGGGCTGGGCATAGTGGCACACACCTTTAATCCCAGTACTTGGGAGGCAGGGGCAGGTGGATCTCTGTGAGATCAAGAGGAGCCAGGTCTTATACATAGTGAGTTCTAGGCAGGCTGGGGCTACAGGGAGACACTGTCTCAAAAAAAAAAATTGGAAAAAACTGCATCTGTACTGAACATACATGGTATTTGTCCTTGTTTCCTTAAACAATGCATATAGCAACTATGCACGCAGCACTTACATTGTGATAGGTATACGTCATCCAGAGAAGATTCAAGGTGTGCAGGAAGATGTACATGAGTAATGTGAATGATGCCCTCTTACACAAGGGACACTAGCACCTGCTGATTTCTGGAGCCTGTGGAGTCCTACAGCTAATCTTGGACCCCTGAGGGATACCATAACTGTGATTCAGGGTCTTTGTGCTAAGTGCCCTGCTCTATGGATTCCATGTCCTGAGTTACCTGAGGTCCTAGGTTAAGGTAGCAGTCCACAGACAACACAGGGTGGCTGTGGTTCTTCAGGGACAGCGGAAAGAAGCGATGGCTGTGGTACTGGAGGAACTTCTCTAGCAGGAGCTGGGCAGGAGCTGCCAGGAATGTGTGCTTGCTGTCCGGAGCACAGATGTACTGGGATGGCACAATGACCACGGAGCTATCAGACACCTGCTAGGGAGGGGGACAGATATCAGGCCACTTCCCACCCTCAGGAGAGAAGAGCTCCCTGGGTCTTCTGGCCACATGACTGATTCCCAAGGGTGGGGAAGGTTTTGCTGCTTTGAGTAACAATGTGAGTTAGGAACTCAAGCTTTAAGTAAAATTTCCCATTAAGAAAAATTAGACTCAGGGCTGGAGAGATGGCTCAGTAGTTAAGAGCACTGGCTGTCCTTGCAGAGGACCCAGGTTCACATCCCAGCACCCATATGGCAGGTAACACCCATCCAGTTCCAGGGGATCCAATGCCTTCTTCTGTCCTTTGCAGGCAGGCAATACACTCATACACATAAAATTTTTTAAAATAAATTTTAAAAATTAGTCTTGGTCTAGTGCTAGGTGTGGGATACCTTCCCTTGAATTGCTGGTCAGGGGTATCCTAGAGGCCAACAAAACAATCCAGGCTATTGCCATTGCTTTTGGTTGCCCACCAGAACTTGTTGGTAAGATGCCCCAAAACACTACACAATTTGGTCACAGAACATGGAGAAATCAAACTGTCACTAAGAAGCTTCTTTCCTGCTGGCTAGCTTTCATAGTTCCAGACAGTGATATGCAGGCTGCTGGGGGACAAAAGTCATCAATAGTCTTACCCAGCTATGAATCCTGCAAGCTAAACAACAACCAACCTGTCAAGATATGTCCACGGGTGCAATAGTGGCATAAATGTTATAAGTGTAACTAACAACTTTCTGATAGGATTTAAGGCCTGCTCCACAGGAGGAAACACATACTTGCTACTGTAAATCTGGCCAAGAACCTGTGACCGGGGAGCTCATATGCCCTAGATGTACACCTACTACTATTTTACTAAATAGACAAAGTAGAAAACTGCCCTCTAAATATGTGTCTCTATACCCACAGATTAGTGCAGCTCTCAGTCCTCATCAGAGAAGCTTCTCTGTGCAATGGACAGCAGTTAATGCAGAAACTCAACTTGCCAAAGTGCAGAGAATAAGTGTCTACAGAGCGCTCATCCATAAATGAAACATCTATCACACATCCTCCCCTCAGGGTTCAGGGAGCACCATGAAGTGGGGATGTAAAGACTGTAAGAGTGAGAGGTCAAGGAGGATTGGGGAAAAACAGTGACTTCTGGACATGACAGGACTGCTGCACTCATGAACGCACAGCAGCTATTGCTGCCTAAGATCAAGCCAGTTAACATTCCAGGACGGATGGGGGAAGAGCTAATGAGCCCCCACCCCAATTGAGGAGCTAATGACAGTTGATAGCTGCTAGGGGAAGGAAAGCCAGTTTTCCTTAAGGGTATAGCTCCTGGTAGGTCAACATGCTACAGTGGGTGGCCCCACACCCATGCATATATTAACAGCACAAATTGAACTTAGTGGGCTAATTTAAAAAGAGGACATGAAGTTGGGTAGGGCCTAGATGGTGGAAGTTGGTGACTGACTGGGCTTTTGAAGGTTGTAGCCCATCCCCTGGTTTTGTGCTCTGTGCTTCATGGTCTACTCTCATGTGAACAGCTCCATCACACATTCCTACCACCACAGACTCAATCACTCCACTCTGCCTTCCCCACTTTGTGGACTGAAATCCCCCTGAAACTGTGAGTCAAAATCAATCTTTTCCTCCTTAATCTATTGTGCCAGCTATTCTCTCCCAGCAATGCAAAAGCTGGCTGGTACCAGAGAAGAGGGTTCCTGGTCTTTACTTAATCTGACCATGTGGTTCTTAGGACATAGTCTTTTTATTACTCCTAAAGCAAAGTCTAGAAGTTTCCCAAAGCCCGTAGCAGAAGCTCTTCCAGCTCTCCTCTTCTCTCCCTCCTGGCTCCTCCTCAGGGAGTAGTAGTAGTGTAGTAGTGTAGTGCAGTAGTAGCATAGTAACTACACTTCGTCCTCAGGGACACCTACAAATTCCTCTCCTCCCCAGCTGCTACATTAGTCACCCTAGGACACCTTCATCTTCATGGTGCTTCTAACAATGGGGCTTCACTAAATACGTCTGACTTCTGCCTCTGCTTAAGGCTACAAATCTGCAAGCAAAGGGATGACCAGGTGCTTAGTTTATATATAACAAAATAAATGAAGTGATTTCTCTCCCATGAAAGATTATAAAATATCAATAGTTTTCATATATATGTGTAATATATATATAAAATCAACACAAGACTATGTTCAACATGGGATAAAGATAGTCAAGAGGGCTTAGCAGATAAAGGTACTCACTGCCAAGCCTGATGATCTTAGTTTGAGCCCCAAGACCCACATGGTAGAAAGAAAGAACAAACTCCCACAAATTAGCCTCTGACCTCCATATATACACTGTGGCATGTATACATACATATATACATATATATACAAAACAAATGTAGAAACATTTTTAAACCTAAGAGTTATAATTATACTGAGGAAATAAAAGAATAATTAATTTGACAGGTACATCAGGATCTTTGGCAAGAACAGTAATACACTAACAATCTCATTGGTTCCTAAATTAATCTTTCACTGGTAGTGGATTAACTCATTGACCACTCCCCAAGTTCTTCTGTAGGATAGGACTCACATTTGAAGGTCCTGCTATTTTGTACTTAAAGTACTTTAAAATAGGTTTTCATTCCCCCAAGAAAAGTCTGCCCCCAGCTAGGGGCGGGGTGGCTGTGTGGAGCTGCTGTCTAGATCCAGGCTGGAACCAACTCAGGGTAGGTCACTGCAAGGAGTTGATGAAGACCAAGAAGGGCGGAGGCTAAGAAAAGGACACCCTGATGTCACCAGGGCAATATTCAGACAGACAGAAGCTGATAAACAAGAAATCAGAGGGACCTTCAGGAAGAAACTAGCCAGCTTGCCTGGCTTTCTGGCAGACATTTTCTTTTGATTTTTGTACCATAAATTCTCAGCCTGCTCAACTAGAACAGCTGTGGTCACCTCTCTCCCATCAGAGCCTGGCTCATGGACAGACTGCATGGCCACTAAGGTAAGCTAGCTCAGGGTGTTATGCTTAATGGCTCTTTGACTGGGTACTTTCCAGGGATGCAGAGAAGAGACGGGTACCACACCTACCCCAGCCAGGGTGGGGCAGGGAGTAGTGCACAAGAAAGGCTTGCTTGGTGGTGGTCTTGCACTGAACAGCATCTCACTGAGTGCCAATTAAGGTCAGAAATCAGAAGAGACACTTCCCAGGGCTTGGTGTCAATCAAATACTACTGCTAATACTGTGCAGTGGTCAGAGCCCACCCTTGAAAGATGAGGCACTCTCCTGCATCCCAGGCTCCCACTCTCAACTGTGATACCACAGTAGCCTGGCTATGACCTGGGCACTTACCCAGTGGTGTGCCACACTCACCTTCGATGTGATGTGGAAGGACCTGTGCCCACCTACAGCAATCTGCTTCTTCATCACGCTGAAGCGATTGAACCGGCAAAGCAGGAGGCCGGCACTGTGCACTCGCAGGTTGAAGTCTACGTCATCACATGTAAACCTGCTCAGAGCCAGAGAAGCTGATTTGACTGGGCATAGCTCACATGCCCCCAGACACCCTCTCAACACAGTAGCCCCATCATGGGGGCTACAAGTATTATAGCAGGCATTATAGTAGAAAGTAAGGGAGACATGCCCTGTTTCCTCCCTTAAGAGTTAATCCAGTGGGGCAGGTCAGAGACCTGGCCAGAGGACCATCCCTAAGAATGTAAGTTCACCTCAAGATAATGAATTCCCACCCTCCAGTACAATCCCTATGTGCCACCATGAGGTTTGGTTGGGTCTACCAGTGTCTGTGACTCATAAATGTCTATCTCTTTTTCTTCTCTTTTTTTTCCTTTCTTTCAGTGCTAGCCAGAGCCCAAGCACGCATTTAAACTCCCTAAATAAGGTTTGGGCTTCCTTGCTCTCTTTCTAAAGCTGCCCTTCCCTCCGTGTGTCTGTCTGTCAGCCTGTGTGTCCACTGGACACCCTGCCAGCTTATCTTCTCCATCCTCCTCTTTCCTTTCAGACAGCAGTGAGAGTTACAGCTTGCCTATCCAGGGGTTTTCCTTTTAAACTCTAATTGTCGTCAAGCTTCCATGTGAGTCTATTCTTTGTCCTTGGGCAGCATTTGTGTCTGTTCTTAAATTCTTCTAGTAATGAGACTAAGAGCCCTAGGAGGGGACCCCAATTTCTAAAGCATCATATGATGACTCCGTTGGGACTCTCCAAGATTTCTAGTAACAGTTCTTTCCTGCCTTTTAATTCTTTCATTGCAGAGGAAGCGACCCCATCCCTGCATCCCTAGACAGCATCACAAGGGTGAAATTGTTTCTCTCCTGCCTCAAACCCTTATTCTAGTGAGGATGTGAGGCAAAACAGAAGGCAAACAGTGACATTGCTGGACCCAGAGAGGCTGTGTGTGCTCATGACTTCCAACTGTGTGAGGACTGGACTTGGACATCAATGCCAGGCACCACAAAAGAATATGATTCTCCCGAATTGTTTGGTTTGTTGTGTTCTGAGACAGGGTCTCTTGTCCAAGCTGGCCTCAAGCTAACTGTGAAGCAAGGATGACCCTGAACTCCTGATTCTCCACCTTCTAAATACTAGGGTGACACTCAGCTTATACTGTGCTGGGAATCACACACTAGGCAAGGACTCTACCAGGTGAGCTACATTCTTCAGCCTTCCATTCAGTTGTGGAAAAGAAACAACCATAGCCTCAAAGTGTAAAAATGTTGGGCATATTTTTATAGCTGAGGAAAACAGGCTCAAAGAAAATAATTTGCCTATACTACAGGGCTGGTAAGTGGCAGAATGCAGGCCCCAGCAGGATAGTCAACCTGCTCCAAATCTGAAACTCTTAAGTGGCCCTGCTGCCTGGCATACAGGATGCTCAATAAACAGACTTCTGTGGCTGGACATGTTCACTGAAATCACTTCATAGTATTCTTTCATCATTAAAATGTGACATATTTGGAGAGGAAACCCAAGCAAAAGACACACCCAGCACAAAGTAACTCATTAAAGAAAGTGTCTATGAGTTAATGGATGGAGTTGAATAACCTCATATAATACTGAAAAATCCTATGGCACATGAGGGCTGAAAGCCAGGTAGGCCAGTGCTGTGGGTAGACTTCTTCTTCAACAGCCATCATGATTAGTCTTGATTGTCAACTTGCTGGACTTTAGAATCATCACAGAAACAAATCTCTGTGCATGTCTGTGAGGGAATTTCTAGATTGGCTTCATTGGGGTTGAAGACCCACCCTAAATATGGGCAGCGCCAGAGTACTAGAATGAATAAAAAGGAGAAAGTGAGCTGAGCACCAGTACTCATCTCCCTCTGCTTCCTGACTGCATAAACAATGTGACCAGCCATCTTACACTCCTGCCACCAGGCCTTCCCCACCAAAATGGACAGAATCCTCAAACTCTGAGCCAAAATAAGCCCTCCTTTCTTTAAGTTGCTTTTGTTAAATATTCTGTCACAGGATTGAGAAAGCAACTATACAGTGCTGGTGGCTGGGAGGAGCATCTGCCAGGCTTGTCTGAAGCTGTATCCTGCACAGGGCTCGGGGCCGCCTCCTGCCATGGGCCCCACACTTACCTGTTCTGGTTGTACTGCACATTCTGGGTCAAGTCCACATTGAGGATGATGAAGTCATGCACGTGGCAGCGAGAGAAAGGTTCCCGCACCTCACTGCTCTGAGTCTTACTGGCCCATTTCCGCATGCCGATCAGGGCATAATGCGTGATGTTGGGGGACGCCTCGATGTGCTGCATAATGTGCTTCAGAGAGATGTTCCTCTCTGACCAGGAGAACTCTCTGCTCAGAAAAGAGAGGTTGGTGTCCCCAGGATGACATGCAGACAGCTGCAAGCCAGTCAGGGCATGGATTCCCAATTGCATTGCTGCATGCTGGAGCAGGCTGGTATGGACTGAACCTAACACCATTTCCAAAGGGTGCTAGGTACCCTGGCAAGTACTTCATATCTACTGTCATTTCACTGTGCAGAATACAGTCACATCCCATGTGCTGAACACACATACAGACCATGGATTAATTCATCTTCACAACAAATTCTAGTTTGGAGATCAATATCGATCAAAAACAAGGATCCTAGGGGGCTGGGGGGGGGCAGCTCAGCAGTTAAGAACACTGGCTGCTCTTGAAGAGGACCCAAGTTCGATTACAAGTACCACGACTCCAGTTCCACCAGACACATAAATGATTGGTAGGTAGGTAGGTAGGTAGATAGATAGGTGATGATAGATAGATGATAGATGATAGATAGGTAGGTAGATAGATAGATAGATAGATAGATGATAGACAGACAGACAGACAGATAGATAGATAGATAGATAGATAGATAGATAGATAACAGAGACAGATAGATGATAGAGAGATAGATGACAGAGATATATAGATGATAGATGTTAGTGAGATGATAGACAGATAGATAAATAAATATAATAGATTATATAAAACAAGGGCTCTGGAAACCTCCAGAGACTTAGCTGATTGCTTCAAGTCATACAGAAAACCCAAATAAAGCCAGGAGTGCAGGAGTGAAGGGTTGTGCTAGTGGGAGAAGCATGGCTAGAGCGCAGCATGAAGGGTATCTTGGGGGGGGCGGAAATAAGGTCAGCTGCTTGATGGAGGGGTTGTCTAAATAGATATGCTCAATTTGTGAAATATTTTGTATACATATTACCATTTCTTTTGTTCTGTGTATATATGAACTACATTAAGTCTATTTGCTGCATTTCTGCCTTTTTATTTTTTTAAGATTTATTTTATGTATGTATCTGTATGAGTGTGTGTACACATTATGTACATGGTGTATGTGTGTGTGTATGGGTGCACACATGTGTGCATGGATACATGAGCTTGTGAGGGTGTAAAGGCCAGAAGGTGTCAGATCCCTTGGGGTAGTGACATGCCTTTCCAGGATGCCTGACCTGTTAGGTGGTGCTAGGGTCTGAGCTCCCCTATTCACAATCGCACAGTAAGCACTCTTTACTGCTGAGTCATCTCTCCAGCCCTATTCTCCATTTCTGTATATGGGATATACCTCAAGAACATTTTTTAAAAATTAAAAGAAAACTGGAGCCAGGCCTGGTGGTGCACTCCTTTAATCTCAGCACTCAGGAGGCAGAGGCAGGCAGATCTGTGAGTTCAAGGCCAGCCTGGTCTATATCGTGAGTTCCAGACCAGCTGGAGCTACAAGGAGATTCTGTCTCAAAAAGGAAAAAGAGAAAGAAAGAAAGAAAGTGACAGAGAAAGAGAGAGAGAGAGAGAGAGAGAGAGAGAGGAAGGAAGGAAGGAAGGAAGGAAGGAAGGGAGAAAGAGAGAGAAAGAGAAAGAAAAGAAAGAAAAAAGAAGGAGGGAATGAAGAAAGAGAAAGAAAGAAAGAAAGAAAGAAAGAAGGAAGGAAGGAAGGAAGGAAGGAAGGAAAGAAGGAAGGAAGGAAGGAAGAAAGAAAGGAAACTGGGTTTGGACCATGGATCCAGTTCTGCTACATCTGGGACCCTAGCTTTGTTATGAGAGGTACGTTTAGTTTTCAAGGCTGAGAGGGGACTGCCTGTCACAGAGTTTCTCTCTCTTCTCTCCTCTCTGGGTGAAAGGAAGCAGTTTACCCAGTTACCTCACCTGCTCTGTTCCCCAGCACAGTCCACATCCACTGCATTCCACATCACGCAGGAATCATCAGAAATGACAATGAATGGCCAAATGTCCTGTGGCTTGATTCCCAGCTCCTCCTGCCGGCTCCTCTCCAGTTCCAGGTTGTGGTAGCACAGCTCCTTAATCAGGAAATGGGCAGCTCCTGCAATAGCCAAGTGACCTGACTCAGAGTCTGTCCTGCACCCACATCCACAGGACAAACCCCAAACCAGAACCAAGCACCCAGCATCCACACACATACACCTCTTCTACTGCCCAGTGTCTACCAACAAGGAAATGCCCCTCTCCACCTTGTACACACATGTGCTTGTCTAACAAATGAGTTAAACGAATAACCAAACATTAAAAAAATATATATTCAAAGAGAAGTCTAACACAGGAGCTCAAAGATAGCTAGCTCATTTGGGAAAGTGCTTGGCTCGCATGCATGAGAGCCTGAGTTCAATCTCCAGAACCCATGTAAAAAAGAGTTGGACATGGTGGCCTGTAATTGCAATCCCAACGCTTGGGAAGCAGAGGCAGGCAGATCAATGGAGCTCATGGCCAGCAAGCCAAGCCGAATTGGTAAGATGCAGGCAATGAGAGACCTGGTCTCAAAAACCAAGGTGGACTGCTTCTGAAGAAGGACATCAAAATTGTTCTCTGACCTATAAACACACACACACACACACACACACACACACATACACACACACACACACACTTTAGAACAGCTTTGAAATTCTAAAAGGAAAAAAAAAAGCTTGATGTCAGCTCTTGAGTTCTTTCTTCTCGAATTCATTCTCTCTTGAGTCTTCGTTCACAGAAACTTTTCCTGGCAAGGCATGTTAAAGCCACCTACCAACTCCAGCACTGTTGAAGATGCTTGGGAGCACCAGCATGATGTGGTTGGGCCAGTATTTCTTATAAATGGCCATTTCGTACTCCTTGACGACCAACACGTGCAGATGGCTGGCTCCATCCATTGCATGGTACAGATTAAAGAGTCCATGCTCGTGACGGCCTGTTGTCGGAGTAAAGGTTGGGCTTTTGATGTGTTCATAACTCTGGAAAGTAGAGAAACAGAGAGAGAGTGTGTGTAAATATGGGCACACCTTTCTTTTGTAGCACCTTCTGTGGAAAGATAGGAGTTGTTTCTACTCTCCTTGAATCCCAGAGACAACACTAACTGGACTTTGCTAAGAGAAAATGCAGGAGAAATGATGTCATACTATTCTGAGCCATCTCAGAAGGCTCCTTTGAATGAGCCTGGGCTAGGCTGCTGGGGGACAACGCTGCGCAGAGCAGAGAGGCACATTCCATGAGGACAGGTGACCCTCCAGCTGACCACTGACTGATGACAGCTAACCCAGACACAGAATGAACTCATTCAAACCCAGAGTAATCACCCATCCAAACCACACCAATCTGCTGACCTCAGAGCAAGAAGCCAAACAGTCCGATTCAGAAATGGCTATTATGCAACAAGTCTAACTGGTATCCATCAGCTAACCATCACTGTCTCGTATTGGAATCTAACGCTCTGCTTTTAGCTGGTGTTCTTCCAGAATGTCCTAAACCCTCCACATACTGTGAACACCGGACATTCCTCGCAGCTTGGATATTGATACAACCAAGTTGTGGAATCTTTTATGTTCATAACTGTTTTCTTCAGCTCTTTTCTTAAGAAGCTCCTCTGGCTGAGCTAAGGCTTCTATTTCCTCTGAATTCTTCAAAGCACCTGCTGCAAAGCTGCATACACAGCTGGTGCCCCATGGCCCACCACTGGGAAACTGGGAAAGTGAACAACTGCTTCCTCCTCTGGTATACCCACAGGAGGGCCGCTATAGCACCTAGACCCCAGAGATATGAGACACCTTTGTAAATAGACCTCTCTGGTGCTGTACAGATATTTGCACTGTTGGCAACACATTGCTGGGTCTATAAGGCCAGGTCCAACTTGACTGCTAGCTGGCACTCCAGAGAAGCAGAGTGCTCCCTGCAGGTCTGTGGAAGGGGACTTGGGTCAAATCTGAAGTCATTGAGCTCAATCTGTGAAGCCAGGAGCCTTATGTTGGACATCGCTGTAGGAGGTAGGGACCAAGAAATGGAAGCACAGTGTCTCCCTAAGATAAAGAAAATATATCCCCCCATATCCTAAAATGTTTATGGGTGAAATGGTAGGACCCTGGGGATTTACTTCTAAATGACACCGGGTAAGAGAAGATAAGATAGTAAAACACAGCTGACTGTGAGTTTGTCTTTGTATAAGTTGGCAGGTGGGCCCTCAGGGAGTCTCTGGGAGTCTTTCTCCTGTTCTCCCTACCTCAGCCTATCCAAAATTTTTGTGACAGAACATTAAAGAAAAGAGAGGGAAGATGAACATCTCACCAGCATGTGATACCTCCTGGGTGCTATACTCACAACCCCATATTGGTTATTCTAAAGAATTCTCACATGGGCTGGAGAGCTGGCTCAGTGATTAAGAGCACTAGCTGCTCTTGCAGAGGACCGGGTTTGATTCTCAGCAACCACATGGTGGCTAACAACCATCCATAACTCCAGTACCAGGGGATCCAACACCCTCTTCTGACCTCTGTTAGGGTTCCAATAGCAGCCCCCCTCTCCCCAACAGGGACCTACAGACTTTGGAGCCTGGAAAAGGGAACTTAGCTGATAAGCACCTTGACCTTTGAGGTCAAGAAGGACAAACTCTGCTGAGAAGCAGCCTGCCTTTCCTCTGACCTCCAAAGATAAGATAAGCAGAGTTCCTCTTATCTTAAGAGGAAAAAGAAGACACTTCCACACCCTAATCCTACCTGCTTCCCCCTCCCTGATTTCTCCCCCAAACATTCCCCCCTTCCACACCCTAAAGCCCCCATATGTAAAGTCCCAGCTCACAACCCGTG